CCCGGTTCGTGCCTCCGTCGCTGTGAGCTCCTGCTTCGCCAAGAGATGGGGGAGGCAAAACTAGAGTGAGCTTGGAAAACACACACAGCACGGTTTTCCCGAGCTGGGCGGCTGGCGTAGGCATGAAGGCACAAGTGCTATAGGAGCACTGGGGAGGGACCCTCAATAAACGCATCAGGCAACAGCAGACTCCACGCCTGCTCTGCTGCAGACATCTCCTCTCACACCTTCGTTACTGGGCACCCATATTAGCACCAGGTAACCTGACGGCCATGGACAGCGTCTTCTCTTGCCTTATGAAACAGGAAGGGGTCGCCCTAAGTAAGCCCGTTCCCTGGCATAAGGCATTCAAGGCTTCTGAGGAAGGGGTGGGGAGGTGGGCGCACGCATAGAAATGGCAAGCAAGCCAATTACAGTATCAGCAGAGAGGGCTTGCCTGACTGTCACTATTCAGTCTGTTTAGTCAGGCCATTTACTGACACTATTCAGTATTTATCAGAAATGGTAAAATAATTTTTTAGACTAGTATATGATCATTATACTAACACAGACACACCCATGTTACAGCCCATGCTATGGCATGGGAATGAGAGCTGAATTAGATGGGCATGGCGCAGCATATTTATTCAGTCTTTGCTGTAGCAATAGCTTATGCCTTGAAAAGCTTACATAGCTTCCTTAAAACGCTACTAAATTGTAGCTTGGTCTTTTTGCTGCTTAGCATACTTGCCAAGCTCCAGAAGTATATCCCAGCATGAACAGAAATGATTGCACACAAGTATTGACTTAAGCTTCTCCCATCATCCACATAAATTCCCATTGGCCCATTGCTTCTTCTAGCGTAAAATCTGCTGAAGAATCACCAAAGTGTTCTTTGTGTAATAAGAACCTGTGAAACTGCCGTGACTCATACCCATTGTCTCTGACACAGTGAACCTGTCATTTTTCAATTTAATCTATGTGCCTGTTGTAGGTGTCCACCAGTTAGTAAGTACAAAATTAATACTAGTAATTTGGATAATAATTGTGTTGATTTTTAATTGCAAGCTTTAAAAAAAAAATATTAGCACAAAGGAATATGTTAATGATATGTTTTTATGTGGGGGAAAAGGGCTAGCTATCTTTATGCACTGTATGAAATCTTAATCCTTTGACTCACAAATGCAGCTGTCACATCACAAGGTCTGGCATTTTATGTCCAGCCACCAAAGTTCTTCGGGTGCTTTTCCTTTTGCATTACAAGTAAGATATCTTACATAGTACCGCTCCAGTGATATTGATGATGACACTGTAACGGAAAAGACAAAATGCAGCTAAGAAGCTAATTAGCTCATAAGAGAAATAATTAGCTCAGAACTGGATGTTTTTGAAGAATAGAGACCAGCTGACGGTAACAGTCCTAGCAAATTACTTCTGGCTAATGACTTAGGACAGTTGCTTTTAAAAATGCTTAGCTAGATTTTATTGTTATTGCTTATTTGATGGCTGCCAGTTAGTGCCTGTCAGGTCGGCTGTGATTCTAGGAGGCTTCAGGAGGTGCAGACAAAAGCGTCTCCGGCTTGAGCAAAGGAACCCCTACCCCGGGTACACGATAATGCATTATCGTGAGGTTGGCCAGAGGAATTTCTACAGCCATCTCTAGTGGAGTGTACTAACATTTCTAAAATCTTCATTTAGCAAGGAGTAAGTTATCTCAGTGGGCAATGGAGCTCACCTAAGAAATCAACTCTTAAAGAAACAGACTTAATAAAATAAGCAGTTATTTTGTAGTATTCAAATCAATATGTAGTTAACCTTTTAAACTACTTGCTGCATTGATGAATCCTGAAGTCAGTGGGACTACTCAGGGCTTCCACCGCTCAGGCAGATGTCTTATCTTGGTTACACTGATGCCTCAGTAGGACTTAGCCTTGAAATCTTAAAGAAATCTTCCTGGTAAGCACTCAAGCTACGGGATTAATATGACTCTTCGCTATTTATGAAAAAGATTAAAAGAAACAGTAGTGTTTCAGAAGTTCCCTTAGATGAATTACAAATGTTTCACGGCCCTCCCCCC